TCTATCTATCTATCTATCTATCTATCTATCTATCTATCTATCTATCTATCTATTTATCTTGTATGTACATAATTGTTTGGATGTTGTCTCCTCAACAAGAGTACAAGCTCCTTGAGTTAGGGACCATGTTTCTGCCTTTCTTCATACCCTTAGGATTTTGCACAATGCCTGGGATATAGTAAATAACTAATAAATGTGACTCCCTCAGTACTGTCCTGAGGAGAAAATGACAACTCTGTATGTTTTTTGTATTTGTGTTACTCAGGCTACTAAGAGCTTTTCTTCTTATGTTAAAACAAAGCTGTATTTATTCTCTTATTCAATACTCAATTTATGGATCTTCAGACTATTCTACCTTAGGATTCCCAGGTAGTTTAAAACATTGAGTAACATGATTATTTAATTTTTTAAGTCAATAAATGTTGCTAGTATCTATTGTGGTTGTGTATTGTTTGCCTATAATTTTTTTTGAGGGAAGCATCCAGGGTCCAAACCTTACCCCCTCCTTTTGCCCAGTCTAATGTCCAGTAGATGTCATAGAAAACTTATGGTAAGGAGTTGAGATAAGAATAGTATTGAAAACTTGACCCACAACATAAGCTTATTCAGAGATGGGACTGTCTAATAAGTGGGATAGTCAGACACAGATGATCTCTCCAATCAAAGAAACAATATGTTATTTCCTAAGGAGGTGCCTTGTAAAGACTGTGGGGCCAGACTTTTGTGGGTCACCCTTTAAATCTTGCTTCTAGGAGAGGAAATGTGCTCTAGAGAGGAAATTAGTTACCAGAGGCATGATGGAGTAGTTAAAAAAAAAAAACTAGAATTGCGTCTTGACACTGTCAGAATCTTTGAAATCATCTTACATTTCTTATTAGTAAAATGAGTAAAGGATTTTTAAGGTCTTTTCTAGCTCTAGATATTGATGATTATACTTTTCCTCAGTCTAACGCCCACCTCAGAAAGATATTTTTACCCCTGGCCAATGAATCTAGAGTGATCGGAGAAATTGGAGTTATTGTTTCATCCCTCCTAATGGTGGGTGGGTATTGGAAGGACTTCCTGGAGGGTGCTGCTCAGGTTAAAAGTGTAACTACTCTCTTGTTCAGATCTCCTCCAGCTCTTTGTGAAGAGGGGTCCCCTGGGATCAGAGGCTTAGGCTTGTCTTGGGGCATGATCCCAAGAATTAACTGTAGGCATGCTAGTCACGGGTAATGGGTTATTTGCCAAATACATGCAAAAGGTAATGCTGTCCAGATCATGCCTATATCTATGATAGTTTCAAAGAGATTATTTATATTTGTGAGTTAGTAGGTCTGAAACCCCCCCCCCCTTCCAGTCTTTTAGCACATTATCTGTCCCTGGGGAATGAGGTACTTGGTGGTTTAGCAAATAATTTCACAGAATCAAATATTTATCCACTGCCTACTATGTGGAAAGCACTGGTGTTAGGACCTGTCTGGAGGTGGTAAGCATTCAATTGAACATACATAGAGGAATTGAGGTTATTTTGATTTTTTATACCAGAACATCCCCTACTATTACTCTCACTATTAGAGTGTTCCCTTAATATGGTCTAGGACTTCAGGTAATGGTTTTCTCCATATGCTCTGTAGTATCTTGGTAATTCCCCAGCCTTCATGAAGGCTGTTTACTTGGTGCTTTGGGATTTGGAAGGTGTCCTATCAACAAGTTTTCCTGAAAATTCTCAGTCTTGAATGTCTTTGGACTTTTCTGCTAAGGAAATCAGGGGAAAGGGATAAATATGGATTGGGAATAGAAGTGGAGAAAGGAACTCAGCTAACAAGGCTTTTGGCCAGAGAGCATTGTCTGAACTCACCTCTTTGGATAGGAGTCCGATTTCAATGGTACTGTACAAAGTGTTGGATTTAGAAACAGAGGACCTGGGTTCAAATCCTGCTTCTGCAACTTATTACTTTTATGATTGGACAAGTCTCTCTGGACCCCAATTTCCTCATATGTAAAATGAGAACTTATTTGATGATCTCTAAGGTATCCTCCGGGTCTAAATCTAAATTCTATGGTCAGACCCTTCAAAGGAACACAATGCCTATATTCATCTTCTGACCCAGACTTAGCCCTTTATCTCTTCTCCATTGTCCTCTCCCCCCCTCCTTGCCACCAACCACTTTCACTACCCTCTTACACATTCGGCCAGAGCGCATTACTCAGAGATTTACTCCTTTTCTCCTTAGGGAATTTCTCTGTACTTACCCCTGGCAGGTATCTTGTCTCATGGAAGCATAGATTCTGAGGTTTGGAGAGGGAGGATCACTTTCCTCCTCTCTAGGGCTTTATGCTAAGGCAGTTAGTATTTCTAAACTGAACTGCTCACCTAGGCTTGGTTTTCTAGCATGGAACCCAGTACCCATTGAAGCCAGATGAAATTCTGCCCTCAGTCGCCTGAAGTTCACAGGTACAGGTGACTGTAGATTTCCTCTTTTCTCTGAGTTGCTCCGCTCCCTTTCCCTGCTTTGACCTTGTTGATCTCAGTAGACATTATCTCTTGTCCTCTTAAAATTAGCTCACTCAGACTGGAGACTCACTGAGACTATGAGAGACTGTGAGAGACTGAGACAGACTGAGACAGAGAGGAGATGAAGAAATAGATGACTGACTAGGGTGGCAAATGAGGTGTAGATGGAGGTGGAAAAAGAAACCGAGTCTGAGAAGACAGAGATAGTTACAAAGAAGGAGACACACATGCAGAATTAAGGGAGGGAATGAGAAAGAGAGAAAAAAAAGAAGAGAAACAGATAGATAGAGGTAAACTCAGTAAGAAACTGAAGCTAATCCAGGAGGCAGGATATGAAGAAAGGGAGTTACAACACAACCTAGAAATTTAAAAAAAGGGGTGTCTGAGGTGAAGAGCTCAGTATTATGGAGGAAAGGCAGGCAGAACAGATCAAGAAAATGAGCCAGAGTTGCCTTTAGGAAAGCAGAGAGGAGAATTGCAGATTCAGAAATGCAGAGTTGGTTCAGACCCTATCTTCTCTCCCACTACCAATTCAAATAATTGAACAAGGTGAAAAAAAGTTAGATGCCCCCCTGATTCAATGTGGGATCCCCATACCTGTCACCACCAGCTTGGTTCCATCTCCAAAAGTGAGGGGTGAGTTGTTACACAGCCCCAGACTGTTGCTGTAAAACCAGTGCTATATCTCTTTCACTTTCTTCCCTCTCTGAAATGAGATCCCATTTGAACTCTGGTGGGAATAGAGATGAGTTCCTGGGCTCTGGCTGGACCCACTGTGGATAAGAGCATCTGGCCAGAAGAACATCCAGGGTGGAAGAAGAAAAAAATTTTCAAAGCACAATATGGAGAAGTCAGTAGAAAGAAGAGAGGGAGAGACATCATGGGACATTGTATGTGGAGAGGGACCATGAATAAATATTTGCTGAATAGAATGGACTTGACAGACATTCAAAAAAACCAGAAAGAGACAGATAAAAAAACCTGAAAGGTCCATGGGAAAGTGGGCCACAGGGTCAAAGAGATGCTCAAGGAACAATGGCTCCTGGACTAGAGAAGGAAAATTGCATTGGGTGAGTATCACCCAAGGTTGTACAGAAGTAGTGACAGAAGATCTGCAAAGTGAAAGGTTTGAAGTCCCCTGTGGAGTCAGAAGATGGGAGGAGAAGAAGGCCTAAAGTATAGTACCATCCCTTACCACCCTAGACCCCATTCCTTACCCAGGACTTTTAGCTGAGTCCCCTCTCCAAAGTACTGCGGCTGGTTGTTACACATCAAGACAGTATTGTGACAAAACCTAGCACATCTTGAACAAGGGTCTGTCCTATCAAACTATGTCCCTTCTAGATTGTCTAGGTAAGGGAGAGGGGCCTAGCTCCCATTTTATCCCCCAAGTAGTCATTTTCCTTTTCTTTCCCCTTTTCGTTGATGATGTTCCTCGGTTTCTCATTCTGCCCCTGTCAGTCTCTCTGGACCTCAAGCTGACACCCCTCTGTGTGCTGGAATCTATAACATAAGAGAAACTGCTTTGCTTACCCACAACAAGCAGCCTGGTGCCACTGCCAAAGTACTGTCTTTCATTGTTCACACACCAACAGAGACTGGAAGAAAAACTACACATGCCCACTCTACCCGTCTCAACTCAAACCTCCTCCTAGGTGGTCTACTACCCAGGCATTAAAGGTATTTTCAGTTGGAGGTAAAAATATACTTTTCATTGTTGGCTTTATGGCCATGAAAATACAGTTTGCATGATCCTCATCTCTTTCTCTTATGACTTGGACCTCTGATCGTCACTGAGATCTTGAGATTGTTGAGAAGGGAGCCCATGAAATATTTTCCCCCAAGCATTCATAAGAACAACAAGTTCATAGAGTCATAGACTCGGGATCTCAGATGCCAATTATTCCAAACTCCTCTTTTGCAACTTGCCAAAAATTAGTAAATAACTGAGTCAAGATCTGATGAACCCAGTCCCTCTGCCCCCAAATCTGGCTCTCTTCCACTATGCCACACTGACTCCAGATTGAATTCTCATCAGTCTGAGGGAAAATAGAGGAAATCCACTGGGATGACAGGAGGATTACTAAGATGATCCCTTCTAGTCTAGGAGTCTGTCTCAAAGCAAGCAGCACCCAGTCCAGTCACTGGCTAAAATCCCTATATCTAGGGGCACTCCTTTGCTCCTGATTACAAGAGACAGGCATTTGTATCTGTCTCAGAAAAAGCAAGCAAAAAAAGAACCCCCACTCTTTAGCCCGACTCCCCATCTGTTCATACCATGCTCCTCTTCCCAGTCTTATAACCTCCATAATATAGATTTATACTTACCAACAACAACAAGCTGTGTCCCCATACCAAAGTACTGTGTATTTCCAGTACACAGTCTCTGACCTTCATTTCAAATCTCCCCTTGCTTATATCCCACCCAATGTCTCCAATATACACTGAATCATACCTGGGATTCAGAAGGAAGACTTAGCAATATCCATAGACCTCTGGTCTCTCTCTCTTGAATGTACATGCATGCACACACACACACACACACACACACACACACACACACACACACACACACTTTTCCAAGATTAGTTCAGCACTTGAGAAAGTTGAGAGAGTTTGTCTTCTGTAAAATTCAAGTTAGGATAGACACATAAAGTCTCCCTGTAGAAAATCCATTGGCAATGGATATTAATGAAGAAATTTCAGGACCTTCCCCTCAAATTTTCCTGAGTCTTAAACACTTCACAGAATTGTGGAATTTTAGAGTTGCAAGGTACCTCAGATGGTGTCCAATCCAACTCATGCCAGAAAAAGAACCCACATACTAAACAAGTGGTCATCAGTATGAAGATTCTAAGGAGAGGAAACCCAACTCATGACTTCCTGAGGCAGCCTCCACTTTGGGGGTAGTTCTCATTTGCCAGGATGTTTTCCTTTCCATGGGTTTCCTCTGACTCCCTTGAGGGTCAGTGTAGACTCATTTATTTTCCCCATCCTAATATAAACTGTTTCAAGGCTCAGGTTGAACAAGGAGACTTCTGAGGGTGTTAAGTTTTCATGATACTCATTCTATAGGACACTGAGCCCCTTAGATGAATTAGATAATAGGGGCTATACTTTTCCTCCCTTTTAAAGTCCATCTGGTGGTCTTTTCTCCATCCCCCTACAGCCCCACTCAAGGACCCTCAAAATCTTACCTACAACAATAAGCTTGGTCCCTGGTCCAAAGAAAGTTTCATAGTTGGCACACCAGGATACAGCGACTCTAAAAAGGGAGTCTGGGACCAGCCCCACCACAGAATGGCCCAGAGGACAAACCCAGAGGTTATCTTACCCAAAACTGTGAGTCTGGTGCCTTTTCCAAAGTGAAGCTCTGTGTTTGTCACAGTGATACAGGGTGAGGATGAAAGTTAATCCAGGATCCTGGAGCTGTTTACCCTTCAACAGAAGGATGGAACCTGCTTCTCTGAAGATAGTGAGGAAAGGGACCTCTTTCTATGCTGTACTCCACAAGGGTGGCTTAAAAAATCTCCAAATTCTCCTACTTCTTGGATCTGTCAATAGCTATTATAGTATTAAGAATTTTATCATCCATCTCATCAGAGCCCATCCTTGAGGTGGTCTCCAGGGAAGAAAGGCACTGTCATCCCTTCCTATTGTGCCGTTTGTAAATATTCCTTCTCTAATGAAAAAGAGAACAGGATGACATATGTCATGGGAAATGGAGGTGGATCCTTTCAGAGCAGACATATCATTAATTTCTTCCTCTCTGTGCTTAAGGAACAGCCTATTATATAAGCCAAATAATCCACTTGATAGACTCCTTAGATCCCAGTGAGGATTTGAGATGGACTACAGTCACCTTCTCTTCTTCTATTGTGACCTAATAGACGAGATCTTAAGGTTCCCATTCTTTCTTCTGAAGAAGATTAGGTCTCAATTCAGGCCTCATCTAAGGAACTTTACCTGTGACCTGGACAGAGGTATGAGAGATTTTTCTGTGGCGTTGCTGAGCTCTCTGGGTTCGACATTGCCACATGTACATGCCCAGGTAGAGGGGCCTTGCTCTACATCTTGTGTCCAAGTGCTCTTCAGGTTGGAGACATCTACCCTAGGTTAGAAGTGGGGACAGCTGAGATGCAGACCTATTTGTTCTCCCTAGGGAGGATTTTGTAAAGGCACACCATAGGGTTGCATCACCGTGGCCCCCTGTCCCCACAATGTTACAGTCTTGTACATAAACAGCTCCTCCCTCAGGGCCAACCTTCAGAACTAGGAATAAACCACAGAAACAGCTGCTTCTGTGCTCATGTGTGTAGAGAGGTGGGTGGCATTGCAAGTGAATGGAAATGTATTGGAGTATGTGGGCTGGACCAGGGAGCCCCTTCTTCCCTCTTGCCGTCATTCATGGTATACTCTCAGTAGTGCTGAGCACTCAGTTGGGCTCCCTACAGAGGACACTGGCTTTTCAATAAATCTTTTGCTCCTCCCTATCCCCTTTCCCCTCCCCCTTCCACCTCCAGATTCTCTGGGTTCCTGAGCTTCAGGAGAGACTCTATCTTTTCTCTCTCTCACACAAGTATGTAAAAGGTTAATATACTCTACTTTGGATCCAGATGCTCAAACACCCAAGATGTACACAGTGAAAAATCCAATGGATTCAGAGTCAGAGAAGTCAGCTCTACTACTTAATATGATTGACCCTGGGCAAGTCATTTCATCTCTACCAGCTGAGAGAGTTAGATTACATTTCCGAGGCCCCTTCCAGGCCTATATTCTATGATCCTTTGACTTTTTTTCTTCTAGGAAGCAGCAACGCCCTATATTCAGGCCACAAAGAAGGATAATGAGGAGGCCTTTGGACAACTGCTTTCGAGCTACTTCAACATGACTTTTGGTTTCCCCAGGCTCAACTCAAGCAGGGTTTTGTAGCCTAAGAACCTAGTCAGTTGTGGTCCCGATTGTGTCTCACAGAGATTGGGTGGGGGCTGGCGAGATATTAGAAACAGAGGCCAGTTACTTGGATGCTCACTTCCCTATTTCTCTTTGTACTCTAGTAGTCCTCTTTTCTGGGTTATAGTCACAGGGCTTACCTTGTGAAGAGCATTACCACAAGGGGGAGGTAGGAATAGCATATGCCATAGATGTGGAGAACTAGTGGAGTCAGTCAATGAATATGCAATTAAGCATTTAGGATGTAACACACTGCTTTGAGGATGCACTGGGGATACAAAGAAAGATAAAATATAATCCCTGCTCATGACCTAACGTGCAAACAACCATGACCCAACAAACTATATACAAAATAAGTTTGGAGATAATGAACAGAGAAAAGGTTCTTGAATTCAGAGGGGTGGCGGAAGGCTTCCTGTAGAAGGTGAGATTTTAGCTGGGACTTGAAGGAAACCTGGAAGGTCAGGAGGTGGAGAGAGGAGGAAGAGCATTCCAGATGCAGGGAACAACCAGTAAAAATGCCCGGAGTAGGGAGATGGAGCACTGTCCAGGAACAGCAAGGAAGCCAGTTTCTCTAGATTGCAGACTAAGAGGTAGTGTGTGTGTGTGTGTGTGTGTGTGTGTGTGTGTGTGTGTGTGTGTG